TTGCAGCTCCAGCTCTGCTGGTTGGCTGAAAGCATGGGGTTTGTTTAACTTCTATACTTGCAACAATGTTTCTTAGACTGCAAGCTCAGAGCCCAGCAGCGGCGGGCAGGGAACCTTGGCTTCCTCCTTCACTGAAGCAAGCAAGCCTCCTGTTCGCTTCAGCTGCCAGCTGCCATCTTGGGTGGCAGTTAGTTTGCATATCTCACTGATTAGCCAATGGGAAGGGTAGAGAAGTTACAGTTAATTACCATGTTTCTCTATTATTAGCTAGGACTAGAGGCCCGGTGCACGGATCGGTGCACTGGTGGGGGGGTCATGGCCTTCAGGGATTGGCTCGCTATGGGAGCACCACTCATCCTGGTCAGCCAAGCGATGCTCCCACTGTGGGAGCGCACTGACCACCAGGAGGCAGCTCCTGAGTTGAGCATCTGCCCCCTGGTGGTCAGTGTGCATCATAGCAACTGGTTGACCAGTTGTTCTGGTCATTCCACCGTTCGGTTGCTAGGCTTTTATATATAGCCTATCTAAATAAGAGTAACATGCAAATTGACCATCACTCCAACACACAAAGATGGACACCCCCATGTGGTCAAAGATGGCCGTAACAAGATGGCCAGCAGGGGAGGGCAGTTGTGGGCAATCAGGCCAGCCGGGGAGGGCAGTTGGGAGGAACCAGACCTGAAAGGGAGGGCAATTAGGGGCGACCGGGCCGGCAGGGGAGGACAGTTGGGGGCGACTAGGCCGGCAGGGGAGGGCAGTTAGGGGTAAACAGGCCAGCAGGGGAGGGCAGTTAAGGGCAATCGGTCTGGAAGGGGAGCAGTTAGGTGTCGATAAGGCTGGCAGGGGAGTGGTCAGGGGCAATCAGGCAGGCAGGCAGGCGAGTGGTTGGAAGCCAGCAGTCCTGGATTCTTAGAGGGATCCCTGATAGGAGAGGGTGCAGGCTGGGCTGAGGGATACACAGCCACCCCCCACCCCCACATGAATTTCGTGCACCAGGCCACTAGACTATAATAATAAAAGCGTAATATGCTAATTAGACTGGACGTCCTTCCGGATGACCTTCCTGACAAAGCCACGGCAGCAGGGGCCAAGGCAGCTGCCACGGCAGTGGAGGCTGAACCCCTTGCACGAATTTCGTGCATCGGGCCTCTAGTATGGCATAAGAGTCTAAAGGACAAGTTTATTTGCAGCTTAACTTTTTGAAAAACAAGTAGACCGGGGGATTCTATTGCCACAATATTAACCGTCTGGTGTATATGACTGTGGAGAACACATACACGGAGTGAGCACCAGTGGTTTTCAACCCTAGGTGCTCATTAGAACTATTCAGTGAGCTTACATACCTCTCAATGTTCAGGCTGCACAAGATCAATTACATCAGATGACCTGGAGCTGGAACCCAGGCATCAATGCTTAAGAAAATTCCCCAGGTGATTTTATTGTGCAGCAAAGGCTGAGATCATGGTTCTAAATAAAGATTCTTTTTTCCTTTCCTGGAGTCAGATGTCTCTTGGAATTACATCTTCAGCCCTGAGAAGCAAATGAGCATCTAGATACAATGGCAAGAAGAATGAATGGAAAGGCTGGGGATGTGAGAGTGTGGTATCTGTAAGTGATGGCAAAAATCATTGTGGAAATATTTCTTTTTAAAATGGGAGCGTGAGAGTAGAAATCAGAGAAAGCTAAACTTCATCCTAGTGTACAAACATTTCAAATATCAATGACTCTGGTGAAAAGCCTGAAGTTTTCCCCAAAACAGGTACAAAGCAAGGATGTATGCTCTCATCACTCCCTTTCAACCTTGTATTAGAAGTCCTTGCTACGGCAATAAGACAACAGAAGGAAATAAAATATTTACAGATTGAGAAAGAAGACATAAAACTGAGATTATAGCAAAGTTGCAGGATATAAGGTTAGTTGCTTTTCTTAGCAAGGACCTACAACCAAGATTACTCTGCCCAAGAAAACTATCATTCAAAACTGAAGGACAGATAAAAAGCTTTCTAGACAAGAAAAAGCAAAAGGAGTTCACCACCACCCCCAAGCTCCCCCCTGGGTTTCCGATCACTGTCAGTGGCAGGGGGCTTCTTCCTGTTTTCCCTTTCGCCTCCCTGCATTGTGCCTACATATACAAATTAACCGCCATCTTGTTGGCAGTTAACTGCCAATCTTAGTTGGCAGTTAATTTGCATATAGCCCTGATTAGCCAATGAAAAGGGTAGGGTCGTACGCCAATTACCATTTTTCTCTTTTATTAGTGTAGATACACTATGATATGTATATGTACTTACTTGCTAGAGTTGAAAATTTTAATACCTCAATCTCAATAATGGGTAGAACAACTAGACAGAAGATCAACAAGGAAATGAAAGACCTGAACAATTCACTTGGCCTAAGAGAAATATATAAAACAATTCACTGCACAACATCAAAATAGATATTCTAAATTTAAACACAAAACATTCTTTAGGAGAGACATGTT